AGATGAGTTCCTTTTTAACTGACTCTAGAACTGAATTCTTTCTGCCAAGAGGTGTGTGTGTGTGTGTGTGTGTGTGTGTGTGTGTGTGTGTGTGTGTGCAAAGACAGGAATTGTTTGTTAAGGGGATGGGCTGTCACACATAGACCAGCTACATGCTTCTTCCCATTAGTGTGAAGTGAAGGACAGTTCTTAACGCTGTTCTAGATCGTGTTGAGAAAAAGTCTGCAACTCAGTGCTCATTGTATTCTGGGGAGCTGAGGTTGCTTTCTGGATCGTTCTCAGTCTTTCTTTTCTGAGTAGAGCTGGCAGCCAAGCAACGTGTGAAGAGGCTGGAGAAAGAATCAAAGAACCAGAAGCAAGCCTGGCAACAGTTCTCTCAGCCTGCCACTTAGCTAAACCTTACTGTGTACCTGCTGGATGCTGGGCTCTGCCCCATGACCCCACCCACTGGGCAAGCCAGAGTCAGGAGCTGACTATCAATACAACTTAGAAGTCGGTGAAGAACACAGGTCTCCTTCATGCAAACAAACATCCTGATAAGAGGGAAAGGGCTCAGAGTTCCCCACCAATTTCAACAGATCTGCTTGCTGGGGAAGTCGCCTTTCTCTGCTCTATAGGTCCTTTTCATTTAGAAGCATGGAAGAGGGGCAGGATGGGAGAGAGTGGCTCCATGGGGGGGCGAGGGGGGGGAGCCAGCGAATGCCAGCATCAGCATCACAGCCAGACAGCCCCAGGGCTCAGGAAGTCTTCTCACCTGCTCTCCTGCAGCCTTGTTAGCAGGAATTGAAGTCCTGCTTTAAGGTGGTTGGATGGCTCTCTACAGGAGGAAAGAGCTGCAAGAGGACCAGTCCAAAGGCCACATATTCAGAGCTGGCACTGAAGCTGAGGGCAGTTTTCCAGGATCCGTGTGTAGCGGTTCTACTCGCTGATCGAGGGACCTTTTTATATCTTTTCAGAATTTCCTGCATTTGCCTAATTCTAAAACCATTTTTAAAAATACTGTTTTGTATGGATGAATGTTTGACCTTGCTTGTATATGGGCACCACATGCATGTCTGGTGCCTGTGGAGGCCAGAAGAGGGCGTCAGATCCCCTGGGACTGGAGTTACAGATGGTTGTGAGCTTCCGGGTGCCACCGAGGACTCAAACCCAGGTCCTCTGAAAGAGCAACAAGCATTCTTAACCGCTAAGCCAACCCCCAGACCCCTAACATCATTTTTGATGGGTCTGTTTCCCGCAATCTCTTTGAGTAAGAAAGGAGCCACACTATTAATCTCCTATGGAGGGTGCTCATATTTGATGAATCGGGTGAACTGGTGGTTGCTCCCTCTTATTTTTTTTCTCCTGAACCAAATGCAACCATCTGGCAATGAAATGTTGCAAGTTCCAGCTTAGTGGAGAGCAGCAGGCTCATAATGGGAGGGAGCAGAGCGTAGATGGTGGTCCATGCCTTTAGTGGCGGCTTGGGGAAGGGGCTGGCAGAGGCAGGCAGATCTCTGTGAGGTTAGCCGGCTCTACACAGTGAGTTCCAGCACAGTTTGGGATACCTATGGCTCTTCCCCTTTGCCAACCTGTAAACTTATCTTTGTCTCTGTTAAAGATGTTTCTGAGATGGGTGATTCATCTTAAGAGCCTCCAAGGAGAAATTCTTGTAACTGAGAGTTAAGCAAAACCCCAACCCTTTTTTATAAATCCCAATCTGGAGGCCAGGGAGGTCTAGCCACTTGCTCAAGGTTACACAGCTAGTTGGGGCAGGGTCTGAATTCCTACCTCCCGGTTTCCTTGCAGTGCCTGGAGCAGGCCCCCCGGGAAATCTGCCAACGACTCCTTTCTTTCCCACATTCTGAGGCACCTCCTATGAGGCGGGCAGCGCGTTGAGGCCAGTGGATGGGAAATGAAGTCAGTCTTTGCTCTACTAAAGGTTTTTTCTTTGAGCTGTGTCCCAATTAGCTCCAGATTTCCGCAGTTTAGAGCCAGGGTCCCTGTGGCCTTCAGCCGGTTGGCGTGAACAGAGGCCAGGAGGCCTTTGGGCTCCCGGCTTCTCTGCCGATCTGGGGGTTGAAGCTCAGACCCTCCAGTCTATTCTGGAGCTAGCTGCTGCCTTTACCACCAAATCAATCATGCCAGAAAGTCATCACTATGATTTCAGAACTGTATTGTGAATTATGCAAAGCGCGCGGATAATTGCAGTCGGACGCCCAGAACACAGAACGCATATGTGGCGGGGTGGGCAGCCCCTATGGTGTTTGCCAGAATTGAATCATTCTCTGTGTGGGGTGGGGGTGGGGGTACACCCTTGCCTGTTTAGCGGGTTTCTTGGCACCTAGTTCCATCAAGAGTTAGTGCCTGCAGAAAGAACATCCCAGTTTTGTTGGGGGACAATTTTGACGAGCTTGGGGATATTTTTCTCACAAGTTTTGATGTCTTTAATAAGTCACCAGGCTCCTGTTTCATGCAAGAGAGGTCATTTGAAATCCAGGGCAGTATGTCCTTCTACCTCCCAGCCTGGACACCTGAAACCCCCTAGCTCTCCTCTGGCCCACATACCCTTAAACTCCTCCCTGAAGACAGACCCGGATCTAGTCCCCATCACCATTTGCCCTCATCTTTGCCCGTGACAAATTAGTTCCACTTGAAGTTCTTTGTCCTTGACCAAGCGCCCCCTTTCTGCCACCACATCCCGATGGTGGTGTTGGCGGGAGCAACAATTGGATTTCTGGCAAGAGCTAGACCCAACGACCCAAAGCCGAGCCTGGCACCCTGTCTCTAGCCGAAATGCCTTTCCCCTCTGGGTACCGAGTTCGAGTTTAAGCTGTACTGAGAGAGCAAGGTTGGCTGGCAGCCCAATTGGCTATGGGGGGGACGCAATTTTCTCTTCTGTCACCTAAAAATGCCCACCATACCCTAATCTCGTCCGAGTTTGTAAGACCATAGAGGAGAGATGACACGGGAAACCGTCACCCGCCTCTCTGTTGTTCCGGGTGGCCGGCCCCGGTGCCAGGTGACTGCTGTGTGTGGTGAGCAGGGTCTCTTGCCTGGGGGCTCGGGCAGCTGGGGAAAGTTGCGATCACGTGCTGCGGCCGGCGCCCCTAGCGCACAGCTCTTGTGGGCTGGGACCCGAGCCTTGGACCTGCAGCGCCAGGCGGGCACTCGGGGGACGCCAGTAGGCACTGCAAACACACTACGGCGTGTGGACAGGGAGCTGCGGCGGGGGTGGGCCAGCGCCCTGTGGGAGAGCTGACCACTACTCCCCTCCCCCATAACTCTGTTGCATAGCCAGAGGCGTGACCTATGACCCCTAGCCGGGCCCACGCCCTGCTAGCAAGAGCTGGCAAGCTCTTGTTCGACAAGTTCAAGCTGCCGAGGGAGCTTAAATAGAATTAATCTCTTAGAGAACGGAGATCACCGCTCCCTCGGCGCGCGCTGTCCCCGCGCCGCGCCGCGCCACGACCAGGACGCCAGAGAGCTCTGGAATTCCGAGTAGATGATCGGGGTCGGGAGGAGGGTGGCGGAGCTCTCCGGAGTCTCCAGGCCTGCAGGGGGAAGCCAGCGACGCCCGCTAGGGACCAACCGCTGGGGGGAAGGCTTCGCCACCCTGCAGCTCCCGTACACGTAAGGGAGGCGAGAGGACTCCGCCAGCTCCGGGTGGGCCGGTTTCGCTTGCAAGAAGCTGGCGAAGCCCTCCCCGAGCCCAAACCCGTCACGCCAAGACCGAGGGACCGCAGACCCCAACCCAGGCCCTAAGTCCGCATCCTCAGCTCTGGCTTTACATAGATAGTTGCAAAATGAATAAATTACTCACCTCGGGCCAGATCCAAGTTTTACCCAACAGAAGGGGCGCGGTACCAACAATGAACCAACTCACATGACCATGTCCGGGCGCGCACAATCACACACAGACACAGCCACCCAATTTCTTCCACGAATCTATCTGTCTGGCACTCTGGAGAGAGGGGGGAAAGCGTTTTGAGAGAGACCTGTCACCCCTCCCCTTCTCCCTTGCCGTGAAATATAAAAATTCATTTTTATTGTAAGAGCGGCACCGTCCTCACCATCACGCACGCACCGAGCCGTATTCACACTCTAACTCGTCAGCTCCCAGAGCGCCTGCATTTTCTTTGGAAGCCGCTTGGAGGTTCATTAATATCATTAGCATTTAACCCCCTCCCTCTTCCCATCTCCTCCCCGCACATGGCTGACGTCAGACCCCGCCAGGAGTTGGGGGAAAAGCTAAGTGGGCCAGGGACGCCCTATTCCCCTCCCCGCGGCTGTCTGTCAGAGCGCTTCTGGAGATATTACCCGAGACCCGGCCCGCCGCGGCAGGCACAAAGTCACAGGGTAATGAACTTCGGGGACCCTTCGCTGCTGTGTGCGCGGCTGTCCCCGGAAACTCGGACCTGGCCACCTCTTCCCTTGGAAGATCTCCCAGCCATCTAGTTTCCCCTCTCGGCGTCCGGGTTCCGGCAGCGCGGAGCTCATCCGCCTCTGAGACCGCGACTGTGGTTTTCGGCTTTTCCGTTGAAGATCAGCGGTCTGTAGAGATCTGCCCCTGGGCACGCCTGTGTGGAGGGAGAGATTGGAAACTGAGTAACAGGAATGGGGAAAGACAGGCATCTCGCCCTTTTCGCTCCGTAGGAAAACCGTTTCCGTGTCTCCATCTCCATCCTTCAGCATTCCCCTCGTGCTGTCCTCCCTCTCCAGCCCGCCTGTCCATCTCTCCATCTGTCCGTTCAAGCCCGTGTCCATAGCAAGCCTCATCCCAAGCAGTGGCGGTTTTGCTAGAGGCGGGAAGAAACTTAAGGATGCTTCCATTTCCACTGTGGAACGAATTCTGATCGCCGGGAGAGCAGGGCGGCGCGCAACCAATAGCCACCTGTCCCGTCCGGGAGCCTTGCAGGCTGGAGGGCGGCTGGAGAGCCGCGGCGCCCGGCGGCGACGTGGGCGCTGCGGGCCGGGACTCCGGCGGTGCCCACCAACCGCTGCGCCCCGGGACCGCCAGCATGAGCAAGCCCGCCGGATCAACAAGTGGGTACCTCTCCGGCAGCCGCGGGGGTCCCGGCGCGTGGCCTGGGGAGGGCAGGCTGGGAGGCCGGGGAGGTCCTTCCCGGAGCTCTGTGAATTTGAGCCCCAGCGTGGGACTCTGTGTCCGTTGGCCTAGCTCCCCTCAGACTGTTGCTTTGGAGCGTTTTGAGAAACTGAGAGAGCAATTTCTTTGCTTCTGGATGCTTGCTTTCCCCGGTCTCCCCGGCGTGTGGGGAAGGTTGCGACCCTTTGCAGCCCACTGGTCCAGCGAGTGATTTCTATTTAGCTGCCAGGTGCTGAGGGTGGGAGGGGTGAGGCGGGGGCGGGAACTGGGCCGCAGCTTCAGGCGACCGCACAATAACGCTGCGGCTCAAAACTCGGAGCTCCCGAGCGCAAAAGCAACTCTGCAAAGCGGATTTTGAGTGGAATGCTTTGCACCCCGTTTCTAGCTATTTCAAATAATCCTGCAAAACTGGGAAGCAGAAACCATTTAAAAGTCACATTTTTCTTAATCCTAAATCCGCGTAGGTCATAACTGGGGAATGTAAAGTATGGCGAACTACTCCAGCGAAGAAAGGACCAAATCCCTAATCCCAAGGACTTTCCGAGCGGGAGCCCAGCACCCGCAGAAGTCCGCGGCCTGCTCACTCGGGACGCTTCTTCCCTTCCTACCACTCCCTCTCGGGTGGAATCTCCAGCTGCGGCAGCTGACCTCTGCCGACTTCCCGAGACGAGACAGGAGTGCAAGGCTACTCGCACGGGCTAGCGCATTAGCGGGCACAGAATCTGCGGACCCTGGGGGAAGCGTAGGCCCGAGCTAGCGAGCCGGCCTTGGGAAGGAGTCTACAGGGTGCTCCAATCTCCCGGCGGCTTTTCAGTTCCCGCCTTCCGCGAGCGGGAGGCTGTGAGTTGTAAGGTCTATGCGGAGTACCCACGCACCCTGGACCTCTCCAGCCACCCGTGTTGTTTTCTCCTATAGCATTTTTGGCGCTCTCCGTGAGTTCCTTCCCGCCCCCCCCCCCCCCCCCTTCACTCGCCCTCATTGTCCCGAGTCTGAAAAGTTGGGAGAGTCCTAGCTACTTCTGAGGACTGGTAATGAAGTCTCACTTAGGATGGATGCAATTCCGGCCTCCACCTCCCTACCCCGTAAGAAGTAGGGTGTGTTTTCATTTTGTGCGTTTGTTTTGGTTTGAGTGCTGAGTTAAAAAATTAGAATAAAGCGAACGTCAACAAACCGAGAATAAAGGAAACGCTCAGAGCTAGAGCCTAGAGAAGGACCCTTATTCACAGTCACAGGGCACAGCCGACTCGTGCAGGACTGCGGTTCCCCTTAGTTTCGGCCTATCCGTGCCCTAGCTGTTCGGATTTCTGGGAAGTCGTACAGGCTCCAAAAGAAAAAAAAATTAAATTTTTTTTTCTGGCTATGTGCTTTCCCCAAGGGAAGCAGAAGAAGGAGGCCATTCCCATTCCCGTTGCATTACAAAAAGTATCCATTGCAAAAAATGAAGTTGAAGGGCCTGGGCTGGCCTCTTGACACGTTCACCCTGGAACAGCTTAGCATAGGTAACAGCTTAACAGGAAAGATCTTTGGGACTTTTGCTCTTTTAAAGCGCGAAGCTTCCAAAGAACTTGAAAAGGTGGGATTTAGGAGATGAGAAGTGTGGGCGCGAAGCTCAGCTTCCAGGTCTGCACCGGACTCTGTAAGCTAGACAGACACAGGCAGTCTACCCGAATTGGGGGATCAAAGTGGGCACTTGTTGTGCGAGGATGCTTTCTAAGGAAACGAGTTTTCTAACTTGCTAAGCCCGAGTTTGATCTTGAAGGCCTCGAGGGCTCGGTAGAAGTGGCTCTCAGGGAAAGGTGGTAAGTCCCTGGCAGTCTTGCCGCTTCACCTAGGAGGTTTTTTGACCGTGGCTGCAGCCAGCAGAAACCTAAGTCCCTGTGGCCCAGGCTGTGAGAGTCTGCTGACTGCGGGGCGGGAGGGTCTGGACCCTGCGGGGCAGGGAGGTCTTCGTCTTAGCGAGGCTGGAGAGCAGAGCGTTGTCACCGGGATCCCCGCCTGGGTGGTAACAAGACCCTGGCCAGTCACCCTTGCAGTTCAGACTAACTTCTTTCAACAGCCTCTGATGGTAATTACAGTAATCGAAGCTGCCATATATCTTTAGGCAATTATGACACACAAAAAGCCCCGAGGGGACCCCCTGGGGAGGGAAGTTAAGAACCGTTTTCCAGCATCAGGAAACTCGGCTTGACTCACGTCTGAGCTCGCTCGGCTTGCTAAAAGAGAGGAGCTTTGCAGCCGTCAACCAGCTTGTCTGTGACCCCAAGTCACCTTAACGTGGCTGGGTGGCGGAGTCTGAGGCGTCGACCCTCCGTGCCCTGGAATTTTCGCTTCTCTCCCTTCCGTGCTCCGTCCCAGTCCAGCTCCCTGTTTCTCCTCTGTTAGGGCTGGGAAGTCATCCTTAAACAAGGCCGACCAGCAAGCCCAAATGGAGACAGTCGAGCATCCTGACCGATGAGCCAGTAAAGGGTCACCCACCCGGCGCTGGTCTTCCCGCCCCATGGGGTTCTCCAGAAATAAATGATCTTAGCCTCCAGTCTGGATGGGAAGGCTGAGCAAGAGGGCCCACCACTGCTTTCTCCATGGGCTCATTTGTCATCAGCGTCAGTGCGACCGGGAAGAGGAGAGCAGCTGGGGCGTCAGTGCTACTGAACCCTTAGCACGGGCCCCAGGCGACCAGAGCGCCAGGGTTACGCCGAGGAGAACGGTTGAAAGACGTGAGCCCCTCGTTAACTGTTTCCAGAGGGAGTTCAGGCGCGACCGTGACTTGTTTGGGGAGTAGTGACAGGCCCCAGGGGGTGGAGGACAAGACCCACGCTTGGTTCTCTTCAGCCCCTCCCTCCCCCAACAATCTCCGTTCTTGCCCTGCGGGAGAAGGGGCGCCGAAGCGGTGGCCGCAACGCCGAATGCCTCCCCCGCCGGCCTTTGTCGCCGTCCGAATTCCCATGCTACTCTTTTTGACGGGTCACTGGTGGCTCTATAGGCAGGTGCTGCGGCGGGGTTGTAATTACCCCGGCTGAGCCTGGTCCTCACCGACCTCCCCCTGCCGGGTCCCCCGCACTGCCCCCCCCCTCCACCTGAGGCTGTGGCCAGGGCTATGGAACAAGCCCGCCCAGGCACCTCGGGATCCCGGAGTCAGTTCCTACCCTGGGCCGCCTCTCGGGCTCCGCAGACAGAGCCTTCACTTCCCCAACTCTGCTGGCTCAGTGCTTCCCACTGCCTCCTCTCCCGCCCCCAATCGGGGTGCTCCAGGAGCGGTTGCCCGGTTCCCATGAGGGCCAAGACAGTCAGGACCCGGACTGGGAATGCCTTTGACGCGTCGCGATGGGAATAATTGTTATTAACTATTTTTTAAATGATGTTAACACTTTTTTTTTTTTTACAAATATTCCCTTTGTTTTCGGAAGAATTTCTACATCAGTAAATTGCTTCAGGCACTTGTTGGACTGAAACCTGAGAGAAAGCACACACACACACACACCTTCCTATTTTCCTCTATCTAACGCCCCTCTCAGAGCTGAGGCCTCACCAGGCTTGGAGAGTCCAAACATAGTTCTTCGGTGTGGGGTAGCAATCCCAGAAAAATTGAAGCCATTCAAAAAAAAACAAACAAGCAACAAGCCCCCTTCCTCCAGCAGCAAAAGGCTCAGAGGAAGATGCACCCAGGACAAGGGAGGAGGGAGGAGAGACCAGTGTTTAGGGGGAAAGGACTTGGGGGTAGAAGAAGCATAGGTGACCCCCCACAGCTACCCCATCTGGAGAGCCACGAATCGGGTAGCTCTTACTCCCAGACCGGTGGTTACTTCCCTCCCCCTCCACTTATTCCCTAAAAGAAATACTTTCTCAAATGGGAAGCACTCAGCATTTTTCCATAGGTAAAGAGAAAGTTGGGCAATTACCACTACCCTTATTATCATTAATAATCTGAAGATTAGCATCACAATAATAACCCTAATAATAACAACCGCTGGGCTCAGCTCAGAGAAAACTCGATTGCCTTCCAGCTGCCATCCCCAGTTCCAGCCGTGTTTGTTTTTCTTCTTTTTCTCCCTTTTACATTTCAAGTTTGTCTCCTTGCGCGCTCACTAACAACTTTTTTTTTTCCCTGCTAAATGCAAGAACGAAGGAGGGAGGCGGCCAAACTTTCGGCGGAGCAGAAAGGCAGCAGTGGGCCGAGCTGCTGCCCGGGCCTGCTGTAATCTTTTATTCCAAAATGGGTCTCGGCGATTAGAGGAGACCCAAATACATGTAGCGGTGCATGAATAATGCTCATTGTAGGAAGCTGACACTTGCTCGAGGAAAAAAAGTTTGGCTATAAAATCTCTTCATTATTTGCTTTTACCGCAGCTCCGCTGCTAATCCGCTCAGAGGTCAGATTGCTTAGCATCTCTCTCCCCCCTCTCCCCTTTCCTCCCTCTCCTCCTCCCCGTGCTCCCTCTCACCCTTTTCCTCTCTTTTCGGTCTTTCCTGCGGTTTCAGGCCGCATTTTAGATATCCCCTGCAAAGTGTGTGGTGACCGCAGCTCCGGAAAGCACTACGGGGTCTACGCTTGCGACGGCTGCTCGGGGTTCTTCAAGAGGAGCATCCGAAGGAATAGGACCTATGTCTGCAAGTCTGGAAACCAGGTACTCCCTGGGGTTGAGCTGCCCGGCTCCCCTTTGTGCCCCATCCCACCCCACCCCATTTCCTCTGAATTCCCTGACCTGGGTCCTCTTCCCTCCTCCCCGCCTCAGCTTTGGGTGGCCCTTTGGCTCTGAAAAGGCCACATAAGGTTACGGAAAGCAGATGAGTTTAGAGAGGAAAGTCAGAACTCCCACGGTTTTCCTACACTTTTTTTTTTTTTAATTCCTTGGTCACATTTTGACTTTGAGTAAAGAGGCCCTGCCCGCACCCAATCTGAAAAGCCTGTCTGGAGATCTCAAGGAATTTTAGAATCTAATGCCCAAGTAGCAAGCAGAAGAAAGGGCCCATTAGGCTGTCTGCCCACCCTCCACTCCATCCTTAGCAGCATCCTCAGATAGTGCATCTGAGCCAGGGTCACCACTACCTTTAGCTAAGGCTTCAAAGTGAATGCTGGGTACTTGAAAGCCGTGTGTTTGCAGATGCGGGGCTGCTCTGGCATGGGCAGGTGTAAGGGCTGAGCACCTGCATGGCTCAGAAAAGTGCAGGGTGGCAGAAAGAGAAGGCTCAGAGGAAGTTAGGAGCCCATCAAGTTCTCCTCACCCTTCCCTTGTCTACTCACAAGATGAGTTGGGAGTTGTGTTTCAGTCTGGTCCAGGCTGAACTAGCTCACAGGCACAGGGCCCTTAGGGTATGAACTGAGCCCACCTATAGCTTCCAACCAGAGCTAACAGAAACCACCTGTGACTCCATTCCCAGCTCAGTGGCTCATGGCAACCTAGGAGATCAGCCTGCTGGTCCCACACTCTGCTCATCCTCTGCAGAGGCATGTAGTCCTAAGATGTCCAAGAGTGTCCTAGTCAGGGGACAGTCTCTGGCAACCGAATGATGAGAAATACCCACTAATTGTGTATAGGATACATATCAGCTCACATAGCCCTCCGGTGCTGGAGAGTTACAGTTGCTCAACTGGAATGTCTGCTCTTAGCCATTTCTGATAGGTTTTGATTGGCAGCACACAAGAAGGCATATGCATTCAGATAAATTGTTGTGACCTCTGCACCCCTGTTACCTGCTTTCTTGGGTTCTCAGTGTCTAGCTCACTCATGTCACATTATGCACACACGTGTATCCCAGAAGCTCCATAGGTATGAGGTTCTGTGGAGCAACAGATTTGAACGGGGATCTACTTAGATGGTTGTTGTTGTTTGTCTTGACCCAGCTTAGGGTGGCCTGAAACTCTTGATCTTCTTGCCTCAACCTCAGGTTTGGGTCACCACACCAGGCCATATTGTCTTATACTTGTATGCAACAGACAGAATTGGGAAATCTTTTTTTGCTTTTTAAGGAGATGGCTATCAATTCAGAGACATTTGTATCAGTTCAAAGAGCTTGCAAAGCGGTGATAGCAAATCTGTCTGGTCTGTGTCACCTCCGTGGTGAAAAGAATACAGGAGTCAAATGGAGGCTCCCTCCCTCTGTCTCACTGGCCCCAGGTACTTATATACATTGGATGTGATTTGAAAACCCACTTGAGGCATTTTGTTTTTACATGTTTATCATAATGTTGGAGAAGACATCATTCCAATTGGGTATTCAACTACATCTAATAATAAATAATTTGAAACTCTTAACCATGAATTATTTTGCCGCTGGCCAAATATGCTCTAATTTTCTCCCAGGTACTACAAATTCATGTGCTTCTTCTCTCGCTCTAAGACTAAGTGAAGACCATTCCATTTTCTTATTCACAACAATGCTGACATTTAGAACTCATTATGGACATCCATCTACCTTCACTTTAAACAAATTGGCACGTCTTGCGTTGGTTTGGTTGGATGTGTATGCATGCTGGGTATGTACTGTGAATTACATCCCAGCCACCCAAGTCAACCTGTTTTTAATTGCACAAAGAAAACTGTATGAAACCGTGTGTTCTCGCGTGTCATTTTCCTTACAGATATTTCAGGGAGGAAATGCACTCATTCCTATTTCAGTGTTTATGAATATTTAAAATTAGAAAGCAAAATAAAAATCCTTTTCTGTGTATAAAACACTTACGCAGAAGGCTAGGGGTGTCACTTGGTTGAGGGATGCTTGACCAGCGCTGGTTCCATCCTCAGCTCTTCCAAACAAAAACTCATACATATGATGTATCTGTAGATATTCTCCCTCAGTAAAGACACAAACAAACACTGAAAGAAGCATTATCTGAACTGGCCATGGTGGCAGGGCAAAGCAGGAGGGTCACAAATTTAAGACCAGTCAGTTCATTAAGACAGTAAAGTCCAGGTCATCCTAACTATAGCATGGGAAGACTCTGTTTCCAATCCCTGCCATTTGAGGATGCAGCTCAGTGGTCAACACAGGCTGCTGCCAACCCCTGCACTAAATAAGGAAGGGGGAGCCCTATCTGTCAATGCTTTTTTTCTTCTTCTTCTTTAAGACAGGGTCTCACTATGTAGTCCTGACTGACCTGGAACTCACAGAGATCCACCTGCCTCTACCTCCTCAGTGCTGGGATTAAAGGTGTGCACCACCACACCCAGCCAAATGTGTGCATTTACCTTTTTACCCCGCAGAAAATCACATTAGACTTTTGATTGCTTATTCTTGTGAGATAGATATTTGTAAAGCAGCAACTCTCTTTTTTCTACCCATTATCTTGTTAGTTACTGCCTGTATATAATCTTTTGTTAGGTGGTGTCTCCCTAAGTCCGCCTGAGTTTTCCTCAGGCCCCCACACTCTATCTCTGCAGGCCTTGCCCTTCTAAACATCCTGGCTGCTGACTCATTCCAAGAATGGCTTCTGCCAGGGACCAAGGCTGAGCATAGGACCTCAGGGTTGGCTCAGCTTTGTGGTTGTGTAAGAACGGCTTAACTACAAAAGCAAAGGAAAGGACATAGGGCAGGGAAGAATGAGTGGTGGAGATTTATCTGTCAGAGCAATGGGCTCACTCAGAAGATGGCACCAGGCTTAGCCTACAGGCAGAGGCCACTTCTTGCCTAGCTCAGGACGGGTCGCTGTCTCCGGTCCTGAAAATCATCCCCCAGCCCCCACCCCCCACCCCCCGCAGCTGTTTCCTTCTTTTGCTTCTTAGTTCCAGCAAGATCTTGGAAGTCAGGAATGACCATTCTCTTTGACCAACTCTCTGAGGTCGAGAACTGGTCTTCTTGTCCCAACCCTAGGGATCCCAAGCGCCTTGCTTACCTGGCCCTGCCAGTGCTCAAGGCTTTCCCATTTCACAGGGTCTGAACCTCCTTGCTGGGTCGGTGGCTGGCCAGAGTCCCCAAGCTGGGCCTCCCCACCCCAGGACCGGGTTCTGGTGCCCACCTAAGGGCCCTGGGGTCTCTGACTGCCTGTGATCTGTTCCAGGGAGGATGCCCGGTAGACAAGACACACAGAAACCAGTGCAGGGCGTGTCGACTGAAGAAGTGTTTGGAAGTCAACATGAACAAAGATGGTAATCAGTACATGTCTTTATTCTTCTAATGTTGATTGAGTAGTAAGTAAATTATATGTACAGCAAATAGACGGCACTCCTATGCATGTAAATCATTTCCCCGGCAGATCTCTTCTCTCCAGATGCTGGAAAATGGCCTCAGGCTGTCAGTTGTAGGCCCCCTGAGACTCAGCAGCAGTCCCCAGCTGACCTAACTGTAGCCCAAGTCCCAGGCCCAGACTGGAAACCTGCGCCCCAATCACACTAAGGGAGTGTTAGAGAGCAAGCATCCGAGTTCAGGTGCATATTTCCTGCCTAGGGTCCAAACCCCATTTCGTACCTCTTCTTGCAGTCTTTAGTAACTCTTTAAGGTCTCACAGTCGCTGAAGTCTTTCTGGAACTCTCCAAGCTCAGAGACAGGAAAACGGGAGCTTTCCAGTCCTCATTGGCAAATTCAGTATGGCCAGTGAGTTGGCCCTAAGCGTCTCAAGAGTCTATTCTTGGTGGACAAGAAGAGAGAAAAGGGGCTAGAGAGGCAGGATGACACACCCTTTAAGGGTGAAGTCAACACCCCATTTCTCTGAGGCCCAAATTCGACCCAGACCTGGGTTTTCCAGAAGTCCAGGGCCCAGAAAGTGGTCCAAACTGTACTTCCCACCTTTTCCCGGGTCAGAACTTGGCAAGAGCATCCCGGGGTCTGGGGGAAGGTGGAAGAGAGCCTGGGGACACCATGCACAGTGAGCCTTGCGGTGGGGGCCTGCTTGAGGGAGAGCCTGTCTGGAGTGCACCCTCTCCCGCCCCTGCTGTGGAAGCAGGAGGGAGCATCCAACCTGTTGAACTTGTGTGTTGACAAGTTGTCACGCTCTGCGGAGGAAGATTACCCTGAATTAATTTGTTTGTTTAAACTGGTGGTGGTAATTGTCACATCTCCCTTGCCTTCCTCCGGCATACTCTCCCTTCCATCCCCCAGGGTTTGTGGGCTCTGGTCCTTTCTCTTTGGGCCTTGGAAGCCACAAAAAACCATTTGTGGGGGAGAATTGCGGACCTGGTTGTGAGTGGTACTCCCTTTTTTGGGTGATGGGAGAGAGGGCAGCTTGCTCTTCCAGAGGCCCATAGGGTGCCTGGTTTCCCTGGGAATCCCTGGGTGGGGAGGACCGCTGAGCACCTTCCTGACTCTTGTCCATCTCAGACCCCTGCTTCCCACCTGTATCGGGGAAATCGTGCCTAAGTGCCCTGAACCACGTACCCTCTCTCGCTCCTGAGTGACCTTGAGGGGCCCAGACAGGACGATGGAGGGGCAGCCGGGTGGCATCCAAGTGTCAGCGCGGCTGTGATCCCAGGCCTGTGTCCATGTGTTTGTCTCTGTAGCGGTGCAGCACGAGCGGGGGCCTCGGACGTCCACCATCCGCAAACAGGTGGCCCTCTACTTCCGTGGACACAAGGAAGACAACGGGGCCGCTGCACACTTCCCCTCCGCAGCGCTGCCAGCTCCCGCTTTCTTCACTGCAGTCACGCAGCTGGAGCCACACGGTCTGGAGTTGGCCGCAGTGTCTGCCACCCCCGAACGGCAGACCCTTGTGAGCCTGGCTCAGCCCACGCCCAAGGTTAGTGGCTTTGCGGGGTCCAAAGAAACTCCTTTTTGAGCAAAGGGAGGTGGAGTAGATACGCTCTGTTCTGAGCTGAGACGCGGCCAGGAAAAGGTGGGGGCAGCTGACCTTTAGTGCACAGTAGACCACCCTCTGAGCAGCGACAAACGCGCGCTCCCGAGAACGCGGGGTGGAGGTCAGAAACCTGCACCTTTAGGGAACTCTAAACCGGTTGGTGAGTGGAACTGTCTAATCCGAGTGCAGCCTTAGATGCCCCCACAGGCCGGAACCAACTAGAACACTACTAGTTCCTCACCTGGGGGAAGGAACCTCCCGAGGCGCCCTGGGGTCTATAAGATAAGAGAGAAAAATGCAGAAATCACTGTTAGGAGGGCTGTTTTATTTTTCCCCGGTGCTGCCTGCCCACTTTTAAACCACTCCCAGGATTGGCCCTACCAGCAGGGACACGCCTGAAGTACCTGGGAAGGCTGCCACCTAGGGACTGCACTCCAGGCCTCGAGTTGATCCCTCCCAAGGCCCCCACTGAAGGAGAACCCAGGATTTCCCCCCAGAGGAGGCCAGCTGCAGCTTCACACTGCAGGGGAGCCAGACACCTGGGCACATACACACGCACAATATTTAATATCGCTTTCTTACCCTTGATGTGTATAATAAGCTCTGGAAAGTAGTGTTATGAATATGTTGTCAGTTATGAATGGGAACGCTCTGTGAATGATTAAGATGTCTAATTGAAATATTTCCATAATATACTAATCCTTTCTAAAAATACTCATATGCATATTTGTGTTTGGGATGCCTATTAATTTATACTTTTTTCACATCTATTTTTATTTACACAAATGCAAGCAGTTCTTGTCTAAATTGGGAGCCAGGCCTGGGACTTGGCTCAGTCCAAGGGAAATTTACAGCAGGGGACAGAATAGCCAGGCACCCCTTTGGAAGCTAGAAGCCCCCAAAGAACAGAAACATGCCTCCCCCAATAAAAACCATTCCCCGGATTCTGTCGACAGAGATATTTGGAGGCAGTCGAATGCCAGTACAGAGCACCAGATTCTCTCTGCCCCCTCTGTTTAACCAGCGCACTGAAATGTCAGCTGTTGGGGCAAAGCTGAGGTTCCATCACTGGCAGGTGTTCCTCTTTCTCCCTCCCCCCAGTACCCCCATGAAGTGAACGGGACCCCGATGTATCTCTATGAAGTGGCCACAGAGTCCGTGTGCGAATCAGCCGCCAGGCTTCTCTTTATGAGCATCAAGTGGGCAAAGAGTGTGCCAGCCTTTTCCACCTTGTCATTGCAAGATCAGGTATGACCAACCGGGCATCAGGGGTTGGGAAGGGAGCGTGATAAGCTGGGTGCCGCCTGCAGGAATTGGCAGGGCAGGTGTACATTCTGAGCACTGGGAAACCATTTATCTTTCCCAACATCATTATTGAGGTTCAAAGATCTACCTATGGAACCCTTGTTAGGAATGTAACTATGTTATTTCAGGGTAGCTGAATGTGCTCTAAGTATGGAAGTACATTATCTTTTTTTTAAGTTTAGTTAAAGCCTCCAAATTTAAAAATCTTAATGTTCTCTAACACTGGAGATGAGCCAAGAATTAGGACGCACATCTGTAATCCTAGCACTTAGGAGGCTGAGGTAGGAGAACCTGGAATTTGAAGCCAGTCTGGGCTACACGGAAAACTATTGATGAAATGATGTTTTCTTGTGAACACTCCAGCCGAGAAGAATAGAAGGTGATCGAATGTTCACTGGTGGGGTTTTTATGTCTTCAGCTTTTTATTCTCCACTGTGATGTACCACAGCTTGGGCTAATGGCTTGTCGCCATGGAGAACCAAGAGGCACATCTCTAGTTGACTAATATCGTGTTGTATTCTTGGTGGTCTGCTTGGGGGCATTGCTGGGGATCAGGTCCATGGCTTTGTGTGTGAGGAAAGTTTGCTCATGGCATACAGCATCCCTGATTCTTTCACTGCTTTCAGAACTTTTGGAAACAAAAAAAAGCATTTTTACATAATTCTTTGGTTATACATGATGTTCAAAAGTAAGAAAATTATGTGCATCTAAAAACCTGCATTTTAGCAAACCCCATAAAATTTCCTGCTAGGAATATTAAAAGTTGTCCTTTTTGTCAATGTATTTTTTTATTCATAAGAGGAAGAAAGAAACAGAGTAGGCAAAACTATTGGCTGCTAAGGATAATCACAAAAATTAATGACTTTTTTTTCAAAAAGCTAATAAGTAATTTTTTGCTTCTTTTTCTTTTTTGGATAGTTGGAATCAAACCTGGACCTTGCATTGCTCAGGGAGTGCCCTGCCTCTGCCTCACACCCATAGTTCTGAGAGCAGAGGGCTCAATTCTCTTCATACCTAACTAATCATAGCATGAAATATGGCCACAATTATTGTTCATCTCTAATCTAAAATTTATTTTTCTGTACTCAATGCAATAAGATAAAAAAAATGAAGCATTTTAAAAATTAAACATTTTGGTCTAATTGTGAAAATAGTTACAAACCTTCATGATTCTTAGCTTTCGGAAGTAAATTCTTTCATATAAATCATCCAGCATAATAATCTAGAATTTTTTGGTTTTTGAAAGATTTTTAGACATAAAGAATTGTTTTCAAGGTTATAGGTAATGTCTTTGACCAGGGTTACCGGTTGCCCTTTAATCTTTTGCATGAATGCTCTCTCCTTTCTCTCTCTCTCTCTCTCTCTCTCTCCCTCCCTCCCTCTCTCCCTCCCTGTGGGTGGGTGGGTGAATGTGTGTGTGTAACACACTCACACACATACATATATATAAAAATTGACTACTTTTTTTTTCTGAAAACAAGAATTTGTAGACTGTAATACAAATAAAATTCACTTCCTGTCTGGCACTTAGCCTTTTGCTGGAAACCCTTCAACAATAAGCAAACTATGGTGAAGTGGAATCCAGGACATTAATTTGGGAAAGGAGCCAGATTTTCATTTTAAATATTCAACAGCACATTTTATTAGAATGAAAACGACAAGCACCTTGATGCTGTCCACTTATGAGTCTCAGAGAAATCAGGCTGGGAGGCGAGGTAAACTCAGCAAAACCCGATTAACATAATTACACCCTGATTTTCCCTCCCTCTCCCCCTCCCCCTCTCTCCCAGCCCCCTCGGCTCTCTAGGAAGATGGGGACCCTGACCTACAAGCTTAGGCAGGAGTCTTACTGGTTTACACCAGAGCAACACACCTGCTCAGCCCCGGGTGGCATTTTATGGATTTTCGGTCTCTAGAGAAGTTCCTAGGTGGTGGCAGGGACATGAAAGGCAAAGCCCGAGGGAGTGTGCTTTGACTCTGAGCCGCGTGTGGATGTCTATAGGCACAGCTTCAAAACAGGAAAATGGGGGAAATAAGAGGAAAATAGATTATTTGGAATTTTTTTTTTTAGCAAGACAGGCATTTAAAACACTTTAAAGGAAATTTACATATGGAAATTGTTTATAAATTTATAAATTACACACTATATTATATTATACATCTATTGTATGACAGCTGATGCTTTTGGAAGACGCGTGGAGAGAACTGTTTGTTCTAGGAATAGCACAATGGGCCATTCCGGTTGATGCTAACACTCTACTGGCTGTATCTGGTAAGAATTGCACAATTTAATGACTTTGTTGTAGAAATTACCATAAAAATACATTACTGAAAAAAGAACAACATGTAAAGAATAACAAATTCCTGCTGAACAATAGAGTATACCTGTCATTTATAAATCTATATTTAAATGCAAATAATGTTGTTGTGTTGTATTCATGACTGCTTGCATTGTTATTTAAATGCAAATTACTGTGTTTGTTATCATCCAAGGGAAGATTTTATATTAACTTTCATACAATATAGCCAGTTTACAAGGAATCACATATCTCAGAGTGACAATTGAATAGATATTGATATGCAGGATTTTGTCAAAAATCAATATTAAAACATGAAAATGCCTTCATATTAGAGTATTTATCCCATATTTCAATTCTAGGCATGAATAGTGACAACACAGACTCCCAGAAGCTGAACAAAATCATATCTGAAATACAGGCTTTGCAGGAGGTGGTGGCGCGGTTCAGACAGCTCCGATTAGACGCCACTGAATTTGCCTGTCTGAAATGCATTGTCACTTTCAAAGCTGGTAAGCAGACAGACAGACCCCTGCCTCTCCCTCCTCTCCTTTTTTTCTTTCACTCCCGCCCTCTCTCTCGCCCTCCTCCTTTTCCTCCCCCTCCCTTCCCCCTCCCTCTTTTGCCACCCCACTAGTTCAGCTACTTCAAGGTCCAGTTCTAGACTGGGGGGGGGGGG